ACAATGTTGCTTCTTACTATTACCTAATTCCCTTTCAGTGTTTGTCATATAATAACCATTATTCGATTATGTAAAGCCAATTTGTAGACTTCTTCAATTATTCTAATGCATTTTGAGCAAGATAATGGTTTTTCCTAACGACTGAGTCTCATTGAAGTAAACCGTACGTAGATACAAACCTCTGGTATACATTTCGTAGCTTTGGCTTCGTAAGTTAATGTTGTCTTAGCTTGTCCTGTTTTCATTTATGTCTAGCTTCTGAAACCCAACGGCAATTTGGGCTTTCAAGTGCAACCTCACTGTGCAAGGTGAACGTACCCTACAAATTTTCATTCTCAGCAAGCCTGACTTCTCAATGTGCAATAATGGGGGTAACTTCTGTGAAGGACGTCTTTCAACTGCAGTACCAAAGAGAAGACAAAAAGGCAGCAAAGGTAATTATAATGCCTTTGAGGGCCAACAAATTTTTAAAACATCATAGTCTTGTGAAAATCCAGTGATTTTAGGGGGATTGAATGGGGATATTTCTGTTAATTTAAAGGTATTGACTTAACCCTAAGCCTTAACACTTACTTAATTCTGTAAGAAAATAATGATTTCAGTATTGCTTTTGTACTAGACTTTACGGCTACTTTTATGTTCAGATGACATTGCAAAGTGATTTCAAGTTTGACCACGATCTGGAAATAGAAATCGTGTTTTCCGATCCGACCAAATTGATGGTCACATACGAGGAAGGTGATTCAAAGGTTGGAAGCGGAATTCTCGCCCTCGACTGTCTGACTGTGAACTTCTTGCCAATGTTTAAGGAGGACACAGACGCACGCAATGAGGTCGTTTTTCTCATTGATCGCTCCGGTAAGGAAACATTTGTTTCGTCTATGCAGAAGTAAAAATTGCTTTGTGCTGGCTAGTTGCTGCCAGCTACTAAATAACTATGGAAGTAACAATTAATATTTGCAGAGCCGTTTTGTTCGAGGAAGACGTTTCACATTGCTTAAACCAATTTAACAGCAAGTAGTCTCATATTTTGCTAGTGTAGGGCAGCTGCAGTGCCTAAACGCAGGATAAGTTTGCACACAACAAAATGTCCTGAAAGACCATAGTAAAAAGCATTTCAGACCCATATTTTTATTGATCTAGCAGAATGTTTTCACGACAAACCACTATATACATTTACCGTTCCAAAAGGCAATTAGTTAAACGTCATTCTCCTGCGAATAACCTTAAATTAAACTATGATTTAACTCTTCGGTCTCATCTATTTGCAGGAAGCATGAATGGGAAGAATATATTACAGGCGAAAGAGTCTCTTCTTCTGTTCCTCAAGTCGTTGCCAACGGATTGTCGTTTTCAGATAGTCGGCTTCGGAAGCACCTTCTCCGCACTGTTTAATGAGTGAGTCCTCAAAATCCTTTCACTCCCCTAGGAGTTCATTTTGTTCATCTCCAGACAGGCTTCCCTACCGAATTCGAATTTAATGGCTTACAGCCATAAACTGGACAAACGATCTTCTACCACATTGGTGGAGCCCATATATTTATCATAGTCCTGATCGCAACTGACAAAGCAACGAGCCCATACGGCAATGGTAGAGTGGCAAACTCAATGACCGATGGTTCGGGGTTCAAAACTCGGGCGTTCCAAACGTTGAGATCGGGTATGACTGCCTGAGGATAGCTAAAAAGCCGGAAATAGTCATTCCGGTCTCCCATTGCTTTTTTGCACCGATTCCATCATACAGATACGCGTTTATGCATTCGTCAGCAAGAGGGGCGTTTGGTAGGCATCCTCTTCTAGCAAAGGTTGTCAGAAGCACTTTTTTCTCTGTTAGACCAAGAGACTACACCGAGGAGTCCATGGAAACGGCTCTGGAATACCAAAAGAACCTGACCGCGAACATGGGTGGCACAGAAGTTTTGGGAGCTCTGGAAAGCATTTATGCCAAGGAGATCACGGGCTCTGGTTGGCACAGGAAGATCATCTTTCTTACAGATGGCGATATTACCAACCAACCACAGGTAATCGTGTCCTCTTTCCGATTTTACAAAAACAGAGTTCATAATTTAAAATGGAGATTGGGTTGACGTTTCGTTTCAGGCTTGACAGGGCTCCTCATCCTTCACCTGCTCATTCGCGTGAGCTGCAGAATTGTGAAGGATGAGCATTTTCTTTACCTTTATAAACGGTACTGTATCAACATGTTGCTCAAATGTTTTTCTATTAGACATAAAACAGGGTGTCTGGTGTTCACTCAGGGCTCGCGTGTTCGTCATTAGAATGTGCGGTCACATGTAGGTGCAAAAGTGCAGTGCTCTTACGCAGCTTTATGTCGGCAAGCGTAGGTCTATTCCCAAGTAAAATATAAACGCTTTGCTCCACATCTTTCTGGATTGATTCAATGTCTGATCCCTTAATGTTTGAGTGAATGTTTGGGTTTAATATCAAATATTTAATAGAGGAGTTCGTATTGGCCATAAAGTTGGTAATTGTAAGACTTCAATTATATGTATGGGTTTTGATGTATTTCGCAGAAATCAACCACCCACGCCTGAGGTTGGTCATGTCTATTCGATTCCTTTTCTCTGGTTAAGAAAAATGGAGACAGCCTTTATAAGCCTTATTTTACGACTTTGTTTCCCCCGTAAATGGTGAGTTAGTCAAACTAACTCCGAGTCTTCAAACGACCGTCCACTTTTACACGTACACGCGCGGTCAGCCAGGTGTGTTTTGTGTTGTGTGAAGTGATTGATGTATGAACTAAGAATGAGGCTGCAATAGCTCCTTGATGTGGACTTTATGGCTCTCGAATTTGGCTGGGATCGGAATTACTCCCTGGAGTTGCTTTTTTGACCCACAGTGGGCGGGTCTGCGCTCTCTCTATTGTCTTCTTGCCTTTGAATTGACACCAGGCCCAAGTGGGGATTGGGGAGGGTGAGTAAGATGTTCCTAAAGTTTATTTCACTATAAGCCAGTGGAAATCCATGTCCCTGCAGCAGGTTACTCTGCGACAAATGCGGACATCGTCGAACTCGATAATAAAAATATCCGTATACAATCATATGCTATCCGATTATGTTTCATGGAGGCCGTTGGCCCTTCAGGATACTATCATTCTTTGCTCGCGTTCTGTAGGTCATTTCACTCGTGCGACGCAATGTGAAGACTACGCGACTCTTTGCAATCGGTCTCGGAGATGGCGCTAGCACATCCCTTATTACAGGCGTGGCAAGAGCCGGCGGTGGAAAGTCTGCATTCGTGCGGAATAAGTAAGTCCGAATTTTTGATAACTAAACGCATTATGAGACCGTTCTCCCTCAACGATTAGTCGAGGTTGGATGCGGCTGACCTTTTTACCATGCACGTTCGTGTTTTCGAGCTGCAAGGCGCTAATCACGGATCTTATTTAGTCCATACCAGAGTCTGTCAGCCCCGGCTATTAACCACCAGAAATTTAAATGTTGGTCTCCCATCCTTTCATTAACATCTACAAGCTCCCAGAAATAGTCAAAGGAAAAAATAGCGCAAAGTTAAGGCTTAAGACAAAGCGTGATGGACACCAGTGCAGGTAATAAAACTGCCTTCGAAATTGAAAACGTTAAAGTGGATGAAAAAAAGAAAAAACACACTTCGAATAGGCTAAACCTATTAATAGGAGACCGAAATAGATAGAAAACGAATACAGTAACAATGTGTTGAGCGTTTTGTTGTACAACCATTCACGCACATGGAACAGAGTGGAATTTGGCTTTGAAAGCTTTGAGAGAAGCAAAATATCAATTTAATCATAATCCACTCTGCGGAGCGCACAGAAGAACGCGTATTGCAACTGAAGTGAAGATGA